TATAATTATATAAAAATAATATAATGAATAAATCTTGTAATATATTAGTATTTTTATATAGCATAGTATTTTTAATAATACATAATAGATAGATGGATATGATATTTAATTATCCAATTATTATGTGGGTGCATAAAATGTTATTTAACCTGGAAATAAATTAGTTCTAATTTATTTAAATATTTAAAAATTGTATATATATATATATATTTATATGTGTGTGTGTTAGTGTGTGTGTATAATTTGGGTATTATACACATATATATATATTATATATAGTTTTTCTATTTGTAATATATTTTCAATATAAAATATATATAATGTTTTGTTTTAATCTGTGTATATATATATGACTTGAATAAATTTTTGCCGCATTTCTAGGTCACTAATCAAAGCAAATTATCACAAGTAATGAAACATTTTGTACTAATTACAAAAAGGTGCTCTCAGATTTCTGGACCCCACCATACGTCAAAAAAAAACAAAACACCTCCAGATTGTTTGATATGTTAACCAAACACGTCTCTTTCAATGAAGCTTGAAAAGGAAGGAGAATTGGTGGAAAATGAGATCTCCCACTGCGTAATTACCATTGCGTTTATTGCAAACTAATCACTGCGTAATCCCTGTGAAAATAAAGAGCACTACGGCGTCACTGCACACTTCACTAACTGCATTGTTAGAGGAAAACAAGAAGTGTGCAGTGCAGCAGAAGACAAGTAAACTCACTTCTCCTTCCACAGCAGATCTCTGCTTCATCAGCGCTGATGCTCTCACTGGACCAAAACAACCTTTACACACACAAGACACACACTGCATGACCTCTAATGGCCTTTTGTCTGATGCTGAGGTCACCTGTGATGTCTGCATAACAGTGATGAACCCATATTTCAGACAGGCTCATAAATCAGCCAGTATTTTGAGGCATCTCACTGATAAATGTCTTCCAAACCAAAATGTCAATGGATGATACTGTTCATTAACATTATAGTTTTAGTTTTTTAGTTTAATAAATAGTTTCATACTATGAATTGTTAGTAAATATTGCATAAAAATTGACACTAGCAACATCAACTTCATATCAGCAATCAACCACCTTGCTTTCCAGTTAACAGCTTTGAAAACCACTGAAATGACAGATCGCTTTGAAATCCAAAAGAAGTACGTTTTTTTAGAGCACAAAACTTAAAATGTATGAAAAAAAACACATAACACTTGAAAACCTGAAGAAACTGTCTTTGAAAGCCTGATATTGGTGCCACTGCGCCTCCTACTGGTCAGACTGTCCTGTGTCGTTTAACTCAGTTTGCTATCTAAAACAAACTTTTTGCAAAACTCTAAACACAGTTCTCTACATTACATGCATCATTCAAAACTAACAGCTCTTTTGTTTCATTTGGGAAACACTGCCATTTAAATACCACACTCTTTACTGATGACCTGCACCCAGTGATCATGTGTGAAAACGCTTCAATAAATTATTTTGATATAATAAAATATATATAAATGCATTTCTGTTTACAGTGTGTATATATACATGTATGATTATATTATATGTGTGTGTATGTACAGTACGCACACACACACACACACACACACACACACACTGAATATGCATACAAGCCAATTCAGAAAGTCAACTTTATTTCTAAAGTGCTTTATACAATATAGATTGTTTCACAGCAGCTTCACAATAGTTTCAGATTCAAATTCTACTGTAAAGCAGCAAGTCAATAGTGTCATTATACAGCTCAAGTCAGTTCAGTATTGATTCAGTTCTGTTGCATAACTGTGTAAAATTCATCAGTTGTACATACTGTACATACTTTATATACTTTGTATATGTATATGTATGTATGTGCGAGTATATGACAAACTCCTGTGCACTCCACTGCACTGAACAAGCAAAAGACACACGAGAGTAGTGTTCTACATTTTTCACATCTGTGTGTAGTTTGGCGTGTATGTGGCTAATTATTTTATGCTTGTGTGTAGAGTTAATACGCAAAAATACCATTTTATAGCTCAAATAGTTTTGAATGAAGTGTTCGCTTTTGCAAGATATGTGTGACGTTTTGCATGTTGTGTGTGTGTTTTGTGTTATATATATATATATATATATAAACTGTAATAACCCACAACTTAGAAGTTTATTGAGGGGAAACTCTTTATTAATACTGAATATGAATATATCTAAAGTGTTACCGAAATAAACAAAGAGACCTGAATATATATTTGAAGTATTTTATACTAATTATATATTATATCAATTCCATTATTAAATTGTATAACTTAGATATATAATTATATCCAACATATGAAGCATTATTGTAAAATTGTAGTATTTTAAACACTAAATATAGATGCAGATATTATATATTGTGTGTGTGTGTGTGTGTGTGTGTGTGTGTTTACATTAAAAGTTAGTTGATAGTTAAAAATTTTTTTTGATATTGATAGATATTTTTTAAACCTGGAAATAAACAGAAATTATATCTGAACATTTTGTACTAATTATATATTATATAAATTACATTATTAAACTATTAATTATATTATTTAATATATAATATATTAAATATATAATTATAACCCATACACTGAAAAAAAAATTGGTTTAGAAACAATTTATCACTCAGAAATTGCTAGTAAATTTCACAAGCAATTACAAATAAATGGTAAGTAACACTGAATTAAACATGAAATTTTGAAGTAGAAGAACTACTTTCTTGTAAAACCTACTCCAGTACTCTGTTTTATTTACAACTTCGAAAAAATATTTTTACAGTGTATATCTAATGAATCCTATGTAAATATAATATGTAACATATTACAAATGCATTTCATAATTATATGGCTCATTGTAAATGATTTGCCTTTACCAGACATCTGAATATTCCATCTGAACGTAGTGATCTTTATGACAGATTTGCTCAGCCTGCTGTAAATATGTCATTTATCATTCAGCGACTGAATTCATGAGAGGCATTGTGTTCGTCACTACCTGCAGGAATATAAACCTGTCACTCCTTCTGCAGCAGAGTCATGCCATTAAATACATCAAATCATCCTGTTAAGACAAGGGAATGAATAGTCCAACTTAAATCTAAAGGTCTACAATGATGCAAAAAGAGTCAGTTCTATGCAACAGACTGTCATGCTTTGAAAGATTACATTCCAGTGCATTATAACCCTCTGAACAACCACAGTAAAAGCCCTGGAGACACAGCTGATATGACAGAACGCTTTAAGCTTTAATGTTTTATCTGATGTAACTTTAATGTTTCTGTTTGTTAATTAACCAGGTCAAATGTTCGGTCATTTTGCTAGTCAGACTGAAACTGGTGTCAAAAATCCCTTGTTTGCTTGATGAAATACAATACACAATAGCAAATGTCACACTGTAATAGTCTGCATGCATGAGGGTGATTGAGAGAAAGTAAAAGTCTACAGTTTCTATTTCATTCGGCCTATTATTCCCCTCTATAAGAAGAATGATGTGTATTCTTTAACTATACGCTCTGGTCCATTGCCACGTTGTCCATTCCATTTATCATTGTTGCTTTGTTTGCAGGTTCTTTAGACATCTTGCCTCATTCTTCTGCAGGTTAATTCACGGTGTTCTTTAAACTAAACCTACACCCTCGTGTTTACACTCTCATGTTTGCTTCTGCCTCTCAGGTTTTGTATTGTTTTGTGAACTTATTGCTCAAGTGGTGTCACATGTCACTGCAGACATGGGAACATGTTCTTGAGATCATTAAGATGATGGGAATATAAAAGGGAATAGCGAGGGACTTGACCATAACATCTCAGACGCCTCCACTCATATGAGCAGGTGAGGAGCAGAGTTAATAATTCAGATTGGTTTGTTATGAACTATATAATTTGAGCTATAAGCTTGCAAAATTAAAAAAAGGACTACAAAATGAGCTTACAAAATTGAAATTTGAATTTCTTCCTAACATTTTAACAGTGATTGTAGTGTAAAAAATATTTTAAAATATTCTAAATTAGAATTTTTTTTTAAATTTTTTTTTTTTTTTTTTTTACAATTTATATTTTAAATTGTGAATGTATATATATCTGAAAAAAGGACTACAAAATGAGCTTTCACAATTGAAATGTGAGTTTCTTCCTGACATTTTTACTGTGATTATAGTAAAAATAAATATAAATATTTTTTACCATTTATATTTCAAATTGCGTGTATATATCTGTAAAATAAAAAAACTACAAAATGAGCTTACAAAATTGAAATTTGAGTTTCTTCCTAACATTTTAACAGTGATTGTAGTGTAAAAAATATTTTTAAATATTCTAAATAATTTTTATTTTTTCTACTTTTTTTTTTACAATTTATATTTTAAATTGTGAATGTA